GGGGGGGGGGGGGGGGGAGGCACATGATTCAGCAGTTATTCACCTGAGAAGAACACTTCTATTTTTTTCTTAGCTAATCTATTTCTGATACAGTCACAAGTCACATATGTTTATTTGCAGATATTGTGGTTTCTTAATCCATGCTGTTTCCAGAAAATAATTTGCTCAACCCTTTTTGACATTCTCAATGTCGGTATCAAGGATTAGCCTTGTTTTGAAACCAGTAAAACTCATCAGTAATCCTTTCCAGCCATATGTCCACTACAGACTGTTTAGTCTTATATATCCCAATTCTGTCAATCTGTTGGTGAGAATCTTTATTATGTATTAATCTGTTGATGTGAGTCTTTGCCACAAAGTTGAAGGGTAGTAGTTGGACACCTTATGTCATTTGTTTTTATATTTCATTGCTTGTGTGTAATTCATAAATTCCTACATTCAGTTAGAAAGTGAACATGACTGACTATAAAGAAAGCTTTGCTTTGCCCTTAACAGAGTGAGTTTATTGTTCTTTTCCCATAAAATACATAAAATATGGTCCTATTTCCACTCATGTTTGATCCTTTAATTATCTTTTTGGATACTTGATAATCCAAGTTCCAATTGTTAAGAAACCTTCTGAAGCTTCACACGGTCTGATATGAAATTTGTATGCTTTGGCAACATTTCAATAACATGTTATGCCAATACAGTTTTAATGAACTGAACTGAATTAAAATGATACAGTATTTAGAAAGCGTGTCTTTTTTCTTCTCTTTGCATACTTGGGATGAACCCCTTTTGGAAGCAACAATTTCTGTAGCATTCTAATAAGAACTGATTATTCCAAGAATGTTTTCTTGTGCTAGGTACTCACATATATTTATAGATAATTCTAATTACATTGACATACATTTCAAATGAACAAAGAAATAATTGGGTCCAAAAAACAATATATTGCTATCATATAGAACTGTTGAATTCTATGGATGAATGACTTAAAAAAAAGAGATAACAATCCTAGAATGGCTCCTGGATGCTACGCTAACACTAACAAATCTTAGGTGCACGTATGAGAAATGTTGCATAGGAACTCAGGGGAAAAGCTAGGAATGCTAGGAAAAGCTCTGGTGTCCAGATTCTTTCCCCCTATCTATAGGGCCCACTCTAATTACCCATGGCACTCTCCTTTTAGTACACAGTAGGCGTGGATGTCCTTTCACGGAAGTTGATGGCAAGCAACCAAACGTCAAAATATGTTGTTTCTTTTGTGAATCTCATGTCTCTGACTTAGTAAGCTTTTAGCTAACCAGGGCTATATTTTACTGTATCCAGTGCTGTGCAAATATCATCTATACATTTTTACAGAGCTTTTATTTCAGTCTAGGAGCAGTAGCTTTTATCTTGTCTTACTTAGCTGAGAGTCTCAGCTTGCAGTGTGATACTTCATATTTCTCCAGAAAATGTACTTCACCATAGCTGATAACTGGTTACCAAATTTATACAGGGGAAACGGAAAACCTGAAAGCTCCATTTGAAGGTTCGACAACGGATGCAGGGTTTATAGCACTTGGTCTATATTCAGCACTCTTTTCCTACTCTGGATGGGATACTCTAAATTATGTCACTGAGGAAATGAAGAATCCTGAAAGGTACATACATATTCTCAAATCCCCCAGGGGTGTTATACAAATTGTAAAAGGATAAGCTCATAGCAAGATAAATGGATTGTTCAGTATTTTTTTCTGTTTTCAAATTAAACAAAATGCTATAGTTTAAAAAATTCCACAGCTTTCATATTTTAGGGAGGAAATGTTCAAGGATTTGGGTGCCTAATTTCTATAGGCCCCTCTAAAATTCCAGGGGTATAGGTTGTAGCCATGTTGGTCTTAGGACATAGGCAGACAAGAATCTGATATCTTTTATGAGATCTAATTTATTAAATAAATTAGATCTCATAAAAGATATCAGATTCACCCAAAGAACCTTGTCTGCCTCTAAAATTCCTGCATTGCTTAGGCCAGCCAGGGTTATGTTTTACTTTCAGATAAGAACGAAGACCAAAAGCAGAAATGAGTCAGGACAAAAAGGATTAGGTTTGTCCTAATGCTTTGGGAGTGAGAATTGAGAGAAGAGAACAATCCAGAATAACAGGCAGTAGAAACATTCTCTATTCTCTATCAGGGCAAGTGCCCTTGGGAGAACAGTATGCCTCATAAGGTTAGGGAGATATAATCTATAACACTTATGACAACAAAAGGATCTGTGTCAGGACAGCATCCCTGTTGAAGACATCACTTCTTAAAAATGTACATAAATCCTGTTGAATTTAATGGAACTTAGCACACATTTTAGGTGCAGGCAGAAGTAACAGTCTTCACACAATATGACCCATAAAAGCACTCTACAGCCATAACCAAACCTAATAACTAAATTACTCATAGACATGTCTAGAATATTGTATAAAGTTTGTTTTTTGTAGTCTTTAGAATGACATGATGCAGACATGCATTTCTCAGTTCTTGTATCTGGGAGGAAAATGTCCTGTTTTAATAACATGCAGTGCCCTTATCTTCCTATATGCAGGAACCTACCAATTTCAATTGCAATTTCAATGCCTATTGTGGCTCTTATTTACTTGCTGACTAACATAGCATACTATGTAGTACTGGACATGGGCACTCTCCTAGCCAGTGATGCAGTGGCAGTGGTAAGTTGTATGCAGTTATTAATCAAATGGTACAATATGGATAATGCTATAGAAGAATTTCATAAAATCCCCTATATAGCATATTTTAACAAATTAATTAAGATATGTCCAGTGTGTGTGTGTGTATTAAATCTTGTGCATCGTATTTATGTGAAATAAAATCAAAATATATGATGGCTCCCATATAAAGCATACATGCTGTGAACTAACATTCATTTATCCTTCCATATTCCTTTGTAAAAACCTAAATTTTGCTAAAAAATTCATCAGAAGTTCATATGAAATGCAAACATATGCATATGGTTTGGCATATTTTACACATATACCCTAATCTGAATTCTTGCCATTTCAATTACAATCTACAGAAATTTAAAAAGTCCAATTGAAAAAATATTGGTTTTGCCTTTACCTGCTTCATTCTTTCAAAATTTCCTTCATCTGTTTACTGACTGTCTTGTTCATTATCATCATTCTCATAAAATGTAGGCTAGGGAATGATGTACTCAGGCTGATAAATTTATATAGCATTTTTAAAACTGTGGTATATTTAACATGGGAAGTCTCAAGCTCTTTCTTTTTCTATTACAGACATTTGGTAATGAAAGCCTTAGTTATGCTAAGTGGATAATTCCTATTGCAGTGGCCATGTCATGTTATAGTGGATTGAACTCATCAGCTATTGCAGCTTCCAGGTATGAAACGTGTAAAAAGAAGACAGTGCTCAAAAGACATCATTCAGCATCAAATGAAATAATTCAAATTCATTATTGACTCCAAGATGAACGTGAGTCGGCAATGTGGGGAGGCGGTTAGGAAGGCCAACTGCATCTTGTCGTGCATCCACAGATGCATCTTGAGCAGGTCCAAGGAGGTGATCCTCCCCCTCTATGCGGCACTGGTCAGGCCGCAGCTGGAGTACTGCGTCCAGTTCTGGGCGCCGCACTTTAAGAGGGATGTGGACAGCATGGAGAGGGTCCAGAGGAGGGCCACTCATATGATCAAGGGACAGCAGGGTAGGTCCTATGAGGAAAGGTTGCGGGACCTGAACCTGTTCAGCCTTCAAAAGAGAAGGCTGAGGGGGGATCTTGTGGCCTGTTATAAACTGGTTAGGGGGGATCAGCAGGCGCTGGGGGAGTCCCTGTTCCCCCGAGCGCCGCAAGGAGTGACCAGGAACAATGGTCACAAGCTGGCGGAGGGAAGGTTTAAGTTGGACATCAGGAGGCGCTACTTCACGGTCAGGGCGGCTAGGGTCTGGAACCAGCTTCCATGTGAGGTGGTGCAGGCTCCCACCCTGGGGGTTTTTAAGAGGAGGTTGGATGACCACCTTACTGGGGTCATTTGACCCTGGTGCTCTTCCTGCCATGGCAGGGGGTCGGACTAGATCTGCTCAGGTCCCTTCCGACCCTAGAAACTATGAAACTATGAAAAATTCATTATAATGGTGCTTGCTGAAATTAAGGATCTGTCACTATCTCCCCTTTAGACTTTATTTTCAGAGATTTAATATTCTAGGGTAAGAGTAATAGATGTTCTGGCTTTGTTAACAGAAGTTAAACAAGAGTAACAGAGTTTATTCTGTCACTTTGGTCTTATTTGCCTGCTAGATTTTTTACAAGAAATCTAGGGGCTCTGGCAGATGTGCAGTTCAAGGCACAATGGGATCTGATGCACAGTCCCAACAATTGTGCTTCCTGCCATGACATGTACATGGCAGGAAGTGTAACTGTGGGATCACACATCCAATCCCATCACACCATATTGCTGCAAGGGGAGCCCAGGATCCTGATCCCCAACAGCTGATGGGACTACCAGACATGGGGGTGCACCATGCACTCACAGTTGAAAGCCCCATCAGCTGACAGGGCTCCCAGCCACAGGAGGCCTGGCACACCCCCAAAGCTGGGAGCCTGGGTCAGCAGACAGCTCCCAGACATGCGGGGGGGGGGCGGGGGGAGTAGGATTACAGTGGAGCCCTTGATTCCAGCTGCATCACAGGGCTGGGAGCCCTGATCTGCCACTGCTCGCAGCTGAGAGAGCATATTGGAGTCAAGGGCTTCAACGCATCCATGCAGCTGGGAGCAGCAGCTGACTGTAGCTTCCAGCCTCAGCAGCACATAGGAGCCCTTGACTCCAATGGATCCCCTATGGCTGGGAGCCTCAATCAACTTTGTAGCTTATGCCTTGTGTTATCAAGCCATTCATTGCTTTAACATGTGGCTGGGTAACCACTTAAGACAAGCTTAACTAGTTAATCACATTTTAAGTGTAATATTATGCCAGGGGCCTCAGGCCAGTTCTACAAGTTAGGCACAGCAACACGTAACATTAGGCATCTGCCTCCTACTACACCCCAGTGGAATCCAGAAGCCAGAGTTAAGTGCCTAGGATCCTTGTACAGCGCATAAAGAGAGTTACAATCAAAAGGGGGATCCAAAAAACCCATGTGCTAAGCTGGAAGCTACCTAGAGCTAGCCAATAGGAAACACTAAGCACAGGGATCTGTATGAAATACTGTCCTTCTCCATGATTTAGGCATCTTGAGTCAGGGCTGCAGGCAGATGCTTCCATCCAGTTGGGGTTCAGATCTCTGAATATGCTTTTGAGCACATACAAACATTCTCTGAATGGGCTGAGCGACTCTCACTTTTCTTTTAAAATTCAGGAGTGGGAGGTGATGCTGGTGATGCTTCACCATTTATGATAAACTAGTGGCTGAAACAGTTGCATAGGGAGTGAAGAGAGAGGTTCTAGGCCTGACTTAGTCTGAGGAGATTCAAACCCACATTTCCTTATCCATCCCAGAAGAGTGACATAACACCAGGTTATAGGTTAGCTCAGCGGGGTTGAAAGAGGCAGGAGGACATGCTCTCTGTGACCCCTACTGAAGCTGTGCCACTAGTTAGAAAGGAATACAAGAATCATAGAGCAAGGATGAGTGAGCCCAAGAATGGGCCTGACTCTGTAACTAGCTGCACCACCATACCTAGGCTCCTGGCGGCTCAGGGCAAACTTTTAGTATCCGGCCCCCCTTCGCCAGAGATAATGATAATAATAATTAAAACGTTACCATTTTCAGGCCCCTTTTCTATCTGGGCCCCAGGCAGCTGCCCAGTTCAGCTGTGCCTGTGTCTGGCCCTGACTAGTTAGTTAGACAGAAATCCTGGGTTCTGGTCTTTGCTCCTAGGACTGTCTGTACATCTGATATTAAAAAGTCAGTGAATGAAAATCGGATGTAATCCCAGAAGCTGTGAAAGAACTCTGTCTAGGAGAAGAGCCCAGCACATGGCAATGCTGCCTGAATACTGCATTCTTATCTTCCTCCACCCCTCCCAATGCTAATCGCAGTTTGGGAGGTTACACTGATAACAGTATTTATGATGAAAATAATAATTGTAACAACACCATGGGAACACTTGGGCTAGGTACAGACATTCAAAAAGCCTGAGGCGGAATCGATCTAAGTTTCAGGGTTTTCTGTAAGCGACATAGCTTAAATCGACCATGAACAGAACATACATCAGGACCTGGGAGAACAGGTGTTCACCAGAGCTCCCCAAGGGATAACAAGGTCTAATGGCCATAAACTCCAGGAAGGCTGGTTTAGACTAGACATAAGAAACGAGTTCTTTATGATGCGAGTGTCCAGGGTCTGGAACAAACTCCCCACAGAGGTGCTGCAAGCACATACTTTGGACTCTTTCAAAAAACAGGTGGATATATTTCTTGCTGGGATCACTTGATCCCAACGGACTTCCCGCCTATAGTGGGGGGGACTGGACCCAATGATCTCATGAGGTTCCTAATGTCTATGAAATCTATTAAATTTGCCATAGCGGGGGAGGGCAAATCCTTGACTGGGTCCCACCATTTTTAAACCAGTCTGTGTGCGCGAAACTTCTGTTCTGTTCTAGGTATAAACCGGCTGTTGTGGCCAACCAGGTCAAAAATCTCATTTTCCTATTTACAGAATAAGCATATAATAAATGCTAATCACTGACCCAAAGAGCTTACAGTCTGAGAGACTGCGTGGAGCTTTTCTGCAAGAGCTGTGCATGCCATAAAGACAGCACAGAGGATTTGTCTGAGGTGTCTCCTTTTTCAGTATTGCCCATCTCCAAATATTCTGGGTGGTGACTGATAATCCCAGTAGGAGCTATTGCCATAGTAGGAGCAATAACTTTCATTTTATTTTAAGGTGCAGGCATGTTGGGTTTTTTTTCAGAAGGGTAATGAACACACAATGCTTGCACTGAAGTAGCATTGTAGGTATCAGTGGCAAAGTATCACTCAGATAAGGATTCTACAACGTAGTATGATCAGATTATTTACCAGCATGGTCAATACTTGTCACAATAAGTCCTTCCTTAATGATGAAGACTTTTCATACTATGGTACATTTCCTAGGGCTATCATTCAGTGAAGGTATGGGTGCACAAAAGGATTATAACAACAATGCATTTAGGGGCAGTCATAGGCACTGACTCCAGGGGTGCTCCAGGGCTCAAGCAGCCACCAAAAAAAATAGTGGGTGCTCAGCACCCAGAAGTCATGTCCGCAGGCTTTTTGCAGATGTTAAAAAACCCCAAAAAATATTTTTTACCAGAAGCAGCAGCACATTACTTCAACCCAACTCTAAAGCATCTGTAAAGATTGGGTACTTCAGCTGATTCAGTCAGCTATTGGCTAAAAGCACCAAAGGAGCCCCACTAAAGTACCTGATCCTTACAGATGTTGGTACCAGAGCTGAGTTGAAATAACACATTGCCTCTTTTGGGCATGCACTGGACTCGGCACAGGAGCACTCCAAGTTTAAATGAAGGTCCATTTTGTTCTGGTTTTTTATGTCTGCAAGCACCAAGTTGGAACCTATGGGGACAGTAAAAGTTTATAGGACAGAAATAAGACAGTTGGTGCTGGTTTGTGTAAAAACAGCAGGATTCAGTTTGACTAATTAGGCTTTTTTCTTTTCTCTTGCATTAGGCTGTTTTATGTTGGGGCTCGAGAAGGACACCTTCCTGACAGTTTGAGTTTGATTCATGTGAAGTGTTTCACCCCAGTCCCTGCTCTTCTCTTTAATGTAAGTAACAGTTCTTTCTCACTGTTTTAGGATTAAATAGAAAAATGAAATGTTGAGAATCTCTTTTGCCCCTGACTTTTCTAAGCCTGACTGCATTGGTTAAACTTTTCCAAAATGATTGCAGGTTTTAAAACCAGTGTGGCCATACCATGAATGAACATTAACCCAGTGTAAGTCCAACCCAACCAGTTACATCAGGGAGGGCAAAATACAGCCCATGGACTGAATACAGCCTGCCAGGCCATTCTACCCAGCCTACAGGGCACCTAAAAATTTAGAAAATGTTTATTTATCTGCTCCTGGCTGCCTGTCAAAGATCATAGGAGCCTGGGGCAGTAGGACCCAGGGGAAGCCAGGGGGACTCGCTAGCAAGGCCAGCCCAGCACTGCCCTGTCCCACCCCCAGTCCCCTCCCACCACCCCCCATCCCCCAACTGGAAGCCTATGCCTGCCACAGATTTCACTGCTTCCCTGCCTGCCTGCCTGCCAGCTGCAATAGCACTACGTGGCCCCCGGCTGCATCCCTGGGCTGCAAGAGCTCAGGGCCCTCATAAATCAGGACAAAAATATTTTCTGAAATCAAATTAATAAATGTTGTAGATCAGGGGTTGTCAGCCGGGGGTATGCATACCTCTTGGGGTACTTGGAAAGGTCATAGGGGTTATGTGGATGGGTGGAGATGGAGCACACCCTGGGGCGCAGTGACAGCATCTCCCCCGGTATGTTCCCACATGTCGCCTCTTACCTGGGGGGTGGGGATGGGCACACTGGGTGCCACTGGCCACATGCGGTACACCACAGTGCCTCACCCCCCACCTCAGATCGCTCTTCTGATTGGCCGCTGGGCCACTGCCATCAGTCAGTAGCCAATGGCAAGGAGGTACCCCTCTGTGGACAGATGTGGGGTGGGGGGGTTCTCAGGCATTGGCCACCACCGCCACTAACCACCCCACGCTGTCCTCTCCCAAGAGCAGGGCTGGTGGAAGGGGGCAAAGGCAGAGGCCCCTCTCTGCAGGCTGCACAGGTGCCAGCCAGCCAGCCAGCTGGATGTGTGGGGGGGTTCAGACTCGGCAACTGCCACTGCCACCCACCAACCTGCACCACCACCCACCACCCTGTGCTGCCACTATGCATCACTTTCCCAGGGCCAGTTACACCTGTGGCTCTGCAGGCTGCTGATGGGCTGCACGCAATTGGCCAGATGCAAGGCCCATCAGCAGCCCATGGAGCCTCAGGTGTGACTGGTCATAGAAAAATGGGGTGCAGAGGTGGCAATGCAAGACAGCGGGTGGCGGGGGTGGCAGCAGTGCCCATCACGTGCAAGCGCCACCCTGCCCTAGCTAGCTGGCTGCTGCCACCAGACAGGGTACATTATTTTAAAAAGGTTGAAAACTTCTGTTGTAGATGTTCAATTTTTAGAATATAATTTGGTATTTTTCTGGTTGTGAGATGGCAAAAGCCCTTGCTGAAACGAGTATTTCTGGGGATAAGGGGAGGGCTTTCTGGTGGCAAAGATCAAGGGTTAGGGGGTATGGTTTCTGATCACAAGATGGCAACCCGGGGGCAGGGCACCTGTCAAGGGGTGGGACTACCCATGCAGCCCTTGACAGCTTGCCTAATCTCAGTAAGCAGCCCTCCGCCAGAAATAATTGTCTGCCCCTGAGTTACATTGTCATTTTGAACAGGCAACCTCTGAAATGCAAGTGACCCTATCTAACTTTTCTGAATCAGATTTTAAACTAGCTACTTTTTAGAGGAATGTCCCTACTTTGTGAGACTTATTGTATTTACCTGAAATATCCAAGGCAAGGTTTTTTCTCTACTCAGAATGGGGGGAAATAAAACCTCTTCTTAGATTCAAGTACTGGTCTAGGGAAACCAGCAGCATAGCTCTGGTTTCAGCTTGGGGCTAAAGCCAGAACTAAGCCTCCACCTGCCCCAGGCCAGGGCGGCTTGTGTGGCTGAGAAGGTGGTGTGTAGTGGAGGGAGACTGGGTAGTGGGCATGGTGTTGGGGAGACCCCCAGTGTGTGGCTTGGGAGGGAAGCATGGCAGAGACAATGTAGCTTTCCTGCCATTTCCCCTTGCTGCTTACCTTCAGCTCCAGCTCCCGTCCAGCCCCAACCTGGTCAGGCCCAGATCTGCGGCCGTTGCTTCTGCCGGTCTGAGGTAGGCCAGAGCTGGGGCCGGGGTGGCCACTGCTGCTGACTGCCTTGGAGATAGAGCCAGAGCTGCCCAATATGTAAGAGAAGGGGGGAGGGCAGACATCAGGCACTAGGGGAAGGCACAGGAACAGTGGAACAGGAGGCATGGAGGCAGACAAGGGAGGCAAGGGGTAGGGGTCTAGCCCTTTGCCTGCATCACTGTTTTAGGAAGATGAATTTAAGATGATCCTCCAACAATTAGATTCTAGCTATGGAAAAATATAACACATTTATAATTGTCCATGTCTAGCCTCTAATTATTGGGGGTGGGGGGTGATCTTAAATTTGACATTTTCTTGGATTTGGGTAAATATGGCAATGTTAATTAGTCTAATATTAAGAAATCTGGGTTAGGAAAGAAAAGGTTTTAAAGGCATGACAGTATAAAGAGTTCCAAGTCTTTATATGGGTTTATGTAATCCAGCCAAATACTACTGAAAATTAGGCCCTTAGTACAGGGTGGGTGACAAATGGGGCATGAGCCCCAGAATGCTGGCTGAGGTGGGGAAGAGCACCAGAATGGCGTGGGGGCACTTCATCCTCTCATACCCCCCTCCCCCTCCCAACCCCTGCTCTCCCTTCACTTACCAGCCACATAAGAGCATGTCAGGAGTGAACAGTGTTGTAAGGAATATTGTTTTTCTGGGCAGCATTAAAGTTTGCTGCTGCTCCAGTGCTGCAGTGGGAGTGGGGGGAAATGACACCTCATTCTTTACTGCCAAAAAACTGGAATTTTTTGCCTGTTCAACATGGAAACAAGTTGAGGTGATATCTCCTCTCAAGAGCAATGAACTTCAGCTGGGGCTCCTGCATACTGCTCATTGCTGGAGCCTCCAGAGCCAGAGCCCTACAAAGAGGTACAAGGGGAAGAAGGGGGACCTGCCCTAGCACAGTTACATCTCTGCCTCAACCTGTATGTTTTATAAGAATTGTTTTTTCTTTCTTTTTGCTTATATAAAAAGGCCTTTGTTTTCCTTGTCCCTAGGGTTTAATGACTCTGCTTTACCTTCTTGTGGAGGATGTCTTTCTCCTTATTAATTACTACTGCTTCAACTATTGGCTATTTGTTGGGCTGTCTATTGCAGGATTAATATACCTGAGATACACTCAGCCTGATAGGCCTCGGCCTATTAAAGTAAGTATAAATGGAAAATCACATTTTCCAGCTAATGTATATGGTTATATGTGTATAAATTATAGTGTTGCTACTACAGTTGTGTCAATAAGTTCCTTTATAATTTCATTTTTCATCCATAAAAAAGTCTTTTTCATGTACACAGTCACATATTTGCATAGGACTTCAGGAATATTCTGACTTTTTGCTAAGAGCTCATATAGTTTATGAAATTCAGAGCCCCCAGCAACATAAACATCACATGCCACTGGAGGCTGGGGTTGGCACAGCAACTGCCCACAGGGAGCGATGCCAGTGTCAGTGGCAGGGTGGGGCACAAAGAGCTCCCACAGGCAGCCATGGCAGTGTCAGTGGTGGGGGAGGGGGGAGTGGCACGCAGCCAGCAGGGATCAGGAACCACCCACAGATGCTACCGGTGGTGAGGGGGGGCAGTGTCGGTGGCGCTTTTCACAGGGGGGTGCACCACCAATCTCAGGGGGTGCAGGGTCACCAGCATGCACCCCCTACACATCGCCAATGCCCAGCAATCGTGCCTCAGACACAAATTCTGACTCTCCTTTTGCAGTTTACTTCTCTTCATCCAAATGCAATCTTCCATTCAAGGGGAGGTGCCTAACAGGTGTTTTAGTACTGTATGCACCATCTAGAAAGTAATAACTTACATTTTCTGTAGGTCCTGAGGAGTGCTGCACATAACAAGCAGGGCTGTGCAAAACCTGTGTTTTGTTTCGGTTTTGGATTCAGCATTTTGATGGGACAGCAATTCATTTTGCTGTTTTGGAATCGCTGTTTCGAGTTTTGATGCTGGTTTGGCGCTGTTTTGGTGTTACAGTCATAGGCTGTAATAGGGAATTACTAAAATGCCTATAACTTTGTCATGTCTTGCCTGATTCTGATGAACATTGCAGGAATGGTAGCCCATCTGAGGGCATGAAGCCTGCCAAGTTTCAAGGAGATAGGTGCAGGGGTTTCTGGGAAACTGCACCTCAAGGTGCTGACAAGCAAAACTTGTGATGTGTGACTTTGTGTGTGTTAAGGTGGAGCAGGGGCCATGATAACCCTAGGTCCCTGTGACAGTGTGAGCTTCACCTTGCGGGTGCCTTCTCTTCTCACCTGCCACCATGTCTTGTTGGAAAAGATAATATATAGGGAGGCTGCCCTTCAGCTTCAGATCAGTCATGGTCCTAATGGATCCCACTAAACCCTGTAGGTTCTTGGGCCCCTAGCTGGGACCCACTCTAAGTAGGTGCCTCAAGGGGACACCCTAAGCCTTATGGGCTAGATGCATGGCTCCAACCACCCCTTACCACACCCCATGCCTCGTAGATAGTATGTTGATATCGTCCCTGTAATAAGGTCTTGGTCTCACTCTACCTTCTTTTGTCCCTGGGCTCTCTATGCCCCTGTCGCTGCACCCTCACTGGTGCTGGGGCCTCTACACAACTGAATAGTTGGAGAAATATATCTTAGCAAGCTTTCAGGTTGAAAACCCTTCATCAGGCTGAGGAAGCACTTGCAGTTGGTGTGTGTCCCTTTCCTGGATGGAAGGAATAGTAAAGAAGCCAGAGGCTGGCATGCAATGCAGGCAAGAAAGCCAGTCAGTGAAAATGGAAATGGAGGCATCAGGGGGTGAGAGACAGGCTGGGGTAGGGGGAAGGGGGATGTAGCAGGTAAAAGTGGAGAGCTACCTGAGCATTGAGATGTCCGGCAGGTTGTATTGTGTCATAATTCCAATGTCTGCCTGGTGTATGATTCCACAGCTTTAAGTAGGGAATGTTCCCTACACCATGGCCCATGCTTCACAGATGGCATCCCAGGCAGCTAAGCTGAGCTCACCTGGAGTCTCACAACTCCACTGCAACCAGCAAGCCTCAGGCCTCTCAAAGAGCTTAGGGGTCTGGGGCTTCCCCAGCCAGGACTGTGCGTGTGTGTGGTGGCTGAGGTTATAAGGCACCTCCTACCCACCTTTCACCAGGGAGGTCCTAAGTTCTGGCATTTCCTGAGGGCTGCCACACCACTGGCAGTCCCACCAGGCCTCCCTACCTTGGCAAAGTGTAGTTTTAGGTCATGTCCAGGACCTGGGGTGTCCTTCTTTCCCATAGCCCCAGTCCATACCACCAAATTTGTCCTGGCATGGGAGCTCAGCAGGGACATGTTCTTCTCCTGTTGGCTGGTGATCCAGTGAGTGCCACCTCCAGCTCTGAGAGTGGGGCATTAAATGGTTTGGGAATCAGGAACCAAAAGGAAATAGGTATGGATGGAGTGAGGAGGGTGGCACTCACTCTGTCTGTACCTGGAGCTTAGGGAACCCCATCAGTGGGAGGTTTGCCTTGAGGAACACCAGCTGCTCCACCAAACCAGGATCCAAAGAGATGCGGTGGGGTGTCACAACATCACCAGCAATGCTGAACACTCTCTCACTTGGAATCCCGGTCAATGGATAGGATAGGTATTTCCGGGCAACCATAGCCAGATCCTGCCAATTCTGGCAGTGGCTTGCCCAGTAGACCAGGGGGTCGCACAGCAGTGGCTCCACATCATCGGCAAGATAGGCAGCCACCAAGCCCTGATTGCTACCTGCCTAATGGTGGGATCTGCTGCCTCTGGACCCCACCATGGAAGTCATGCCCTTGGCCCACATTGGCAGCAGCTGTGGTGGAGAAGGAGACTGGCTGATGGATGGCATGCTGGGACGGGACAGTGGATCCCCCTTTTCCATGTCCTTCCACCTCCACCCTTCTGCCTCCCTGCCTCTGTTCACCAGCACCTCCATCCAGTGATCCAGGGTTTTGCTGCCACATATGCTCCCCTTCACCCTCGGGTCACACATGGCAGTCAGCATGTGGACTGGACTGGACTGCACTGCAAGGGATCAAGCCATTTCCTGATGTCCTCCTTCAGCCACCTCACCAGTGCCTGCACATCTGGTGACAGCGGC